ATGTTGAATTTTTTTGAACAGTTGGTGAATAGTAGGTCCGCCTTCTCCACTCAAACTACCACAGAGTGCTACGCCCAATGGAGTACTATCAAAATTCTGGCAGCTTAGAAAACTTTGCTTACGCAAAATCAACTTTAAATATTCATTTATATTTGGACAAATAATATGCCAATTTTATTGAAAAAATCATTACATCAGCGATAATCACAGTTTTCGCAAGAAAAGTGTTCAAAAAGTAAGGACTACTCACAGTGAGCCATATGCTTGTTGAGTGCAGTATAACGGATGCATGCGCATGGACCAAAGTGAATACTGTCCATAGATAACTGTAATCCGTGTATAGGCAACGATTTGCTGCAGTGATCAGAAAGTGGGTAACGAAAATCAGATAGGAAGTCATCACTAGTACGTCGCAAATTGCTATCGAACAAAGCAGCACATTCACCGGGGATACCATTGCCGGACGTGTTAGTACCACGATCGTCATCATGTTCAGCAAAGTGCCTGCTGGTGAAAGATGTTAGCAAATATCAAAAACAACAACCAAGGTATTCTTTCGTGACTGAGTGTTCGCGATTCGAAAGGATAGGTGAGGCTATTACAGATTTTTTTTACCAGAGACAATTTGCAAAGCAATTTGAAAACAATTGAGTTCCAAAGTTAATGGGCATTTATACGCCAATCTTTTTGCCTCTAATCCAGGCACAGGTAACCTCTGACGATACGTGGGCCTGATTTACATAGTTACTTAAGCTCGCGGACCACCTTTTAGTAAAACTCAGGTAGCAAAGCACCAAGCTTGCCCTTGTGATCATGCGTTTTTACGCTAAAACTTGACGCATTCAGATCGTTAGCAGTATGAATGGCTGTTGCTGTACAGTTTAACATGTGCAGTTTCTGTGCCTATGTTTCAGTCTTTTCTTGTATGCGGGGGAAGAAGGCGTCGGCTGCAGCGGTAGTGTTGAATCATGGCTCTCCCCGCTGCTGAGTTGAAAGTGGGTGACAAAATTCATTCGCTTCTGAATACACACCTGCAGACAAGCTCTCGACATGATGCGTTTTTGCATTTGCATAAGATGCAGAAATGCATAAAAATAGACAGGTTTTTATTAGGCTGCTCATTCAGTAAAAACCCAGGCTGGAAAGCACCAGGCGAGCCGGTGCGATTATGCGTTTTTGCACCAAACTTGAAGTAATTAAGTTAACTGCATATACGGCTGTTTCTTCACGCCTACCTTGTGCGCTCAATACCGTAAATCATTGTAAATTTCGCATGAAAGAAAATAGACAATTACCGTTTAGCAGTCATTTTTATGCGTTTTTGCAGCTATGCAATGCGGAAAACGCATATTGAAGAGAGGTTGTGCGTGTGTGTGCGTGTGTCTGTGTGTGCGCAGGGCCTCCGTACCGATTTTTCATCTCGGGATCGGCAGAAGCTACAGAGCTGAAACTTTGGGGAATTGATCTACATGAACGTACGGGCCCCCATCCCCAAAATGTGCGCAATTACCTGCGTGCTACTCACGTAAGAGCTCACCAAAGTTTTTTACGGGTAAGCTGCTAACTCGGGAACCAGAAGTAGTTAGGGGCTGAAATTTTAAGGGAATGTTTTTCGTCCAAGTAGGTGTTAATGAGCTCAGACCCAGCCCCCGAGTAAGCGTGGTACCAGCGTACGAGCCTGCCAAAGTTTTTCTCAGGTAAGTTGATAACTCGCGAAACAGAAAAGCTAAAAAGCTGAAATTTTAAGAGGATGTTCCACTTCCAAACAGGTATTAATGATGCAGGCCCATGAAAGACTTTTTCTAGTAAGTTGCTAACTCAGGAGCCAGGAAAATTAGAAAGCTGAAATTTTAAGGGGGTGTTTCCTATCAGTTCTGGCAGCCAGTTTTAATTTGTTCGGCTTGAAGCATTTGCCGAAAAAAACCGATGCCGGTAGCGACAAAAACTGTGGGGAACTATGCAAAAAACGCATCTTCGCACGGTCAGCCCGTGAGTTGGCCAATTATTTTGAAAATGACTTAGCTTTTCAATGAGTACTTTCCGCGTCAGAAATTTAAGTGCCCGTACACGAGAATCACGCCTACCTGGAAGCTGAATTTAAAATCTTTAATTTTTTGGGCGGGGAATATTCTCGTAAAACCTCAGCTTCCCAGTTTTTCTGGTTCCCGAGTTAGCCATTTTCCCGCCAAAAAAGTTTTACGGGGATGTACGTAAAAAACTTTGATAACTTTAAGTCGTACATGGGCTGGGAACATCCCATGAAAATTTCGGCTTCCCAGCTTTGCTAGTTTCCGAGTTAGCCATTTTCCCACCAAAAAATTTCACGGGGCTGTACGCGGGAACCACGCACGCCTGGTGCTGAATTTGAAACCTTTGAGTTATATGTTGACGGGGGACATAACCTCAAAATTTCGGTTTTCTACCTTTTCTCGTTCCCGGGTTATCAACTTTTCCGCCAAAACTTTCACCCCCTCGTACGTGGGGCCCAGACGTGCATGAGAGTTGGTATCGCGGCTCTGGGGTGGTACTTGGCCGGGGAATCTACTAGCAAAATCTTAGCGCTGGAACTTGCTTGCTAATAGTGATCTGCGAGTTTAGTACAAAAACGCATGATCGCACCGGCAAGCCTGGTGCGTTCCAGCCTGGGATCCGATAATTAGATTCTTTATGTTCGAGGTGGTCTTCAAAGTGTTGCACTGTACTTCAGCCATATAACGGTTGCTTTTTAGGGGAAGATGCTAAAAAGATTACGGGAAGCTAGATCATTTCAAGAACGCTGC